GATTGAGCAACAAAAGGATAGAAACTGGATTGAAACTTATGACCCTGAAACACTCAGATAGAGAGAAAATTGTTCAATAGAAAATGAACCGAAAACTTTTTCTCTCACTCTGATAAATCCAATGGTAGAGAAAATAAGAAAAAAAAGAAAAATCAACTTTCTGAGTTCTTTTCTGATCTCTGGATGGACAAGAAATTTGTCAAAGGTTTTTTTCGCATCTTCCCCTCCGGGTCATCTTTTAATAGCCTTAGAGTAAAACTACAAATAGTGAGAGAGATAATATCATCTCTCTCTCTCTGTTAATCTCTTCCTTTCTTCATGGTTACACCAACAATGAGCTATCATGTGTTGAAAAGATGGGCAAGGTTACAATTGATAAACTTTCTCATGTTATCTTCAGGCTGTGAGGCTGAATAATAACAATGGAAAATTTTTCAAGCTTATCTATGCTTTTTTCATCATTCTTTCCATTGTTATCACTGGAAAAGTTTTTTTTCACTATGTTCAGCTCTGAACTTTCCCCCTGAAATATAATTTTACGTTACAATGACCAATTGGTCAGTTATCTTTTAAACTTTCATGATGACAATTCCCAAGAATTGTCTGTTAACATTTTTTTCCCCAATGCAAGTAAACTCAACATATTCACATTTTCTTCATGATGAAATGTTAATGTTTACTTGATGAAACCACAAGGAAAAGGAAAACTGTTCAGAGTAATCGTTATGTTGAATAGTAATTGCGAACCTTTTTTTTTCTTGCAACTTTACTAACTTTTTTCCACCGCCCACCCTTGGTGAAACCTTCATGGTGTTTGCATATTAAGTTATCAATCAATGAAAGATGATAGATTTCCATGATGGTGGGAACTTATTTCTCCCTTCTCAGAATGTTTTTAACAGCTTCTCATCAAATATCATCATTATCATCATCGTTATTTTGGTGATAATGTGTCTCTGGAAATTTTTGTGGTTCTACTTTCACCCTGCCCTACCCTCATCTCCATCTTGCATCTTGATACCAATGAAATTATCAATCAATTTTGTTACTTGTCATATGCATGAGTTTCATGGTAACAAACTGAATCCACTGAAAGGATTTGAAAAAGTTTTCTATTCAATTTTATTCCAATTTTTTTCTTCCTCACTCATTTTCATCTTCATCATCATTAGCACCAGGGAGGGAAATGAAGACTCAGGGAGATTATGAGAGAGAAGCTTAAAAGTGTCAAAAGCAAAATTTTGAAGAAAAAGTTGTGAAAATTTTGTTTTTCTTTTCTCCATTTGAACTTTTCAATTCTAATGATTCTCATTAAAATCACACAGTCATTACGATGTTGATGATGGTGAATAATTATCACCATAAATAGTTAATAATGATTCTCCTTGCAACTCCCATTAACGTTGTACGAAAATGAAGTAATTGTTTATCTCTATTGATGATTCATCATGAATTTTACAGAACTTTTTTTCACTCATTCTCTTTTTTTTTCTCTTTTCTCTAATTACAGGTAAGCATTTGGTTACTGTTGGAACTTAGGAGATAATTTCAGTGATACAAACCCTGAAAACTGCGAAGAAAGTGAATGTTGTATTTAAAGTTTAATCATATCATTGGAGAGACAAAAGAACATGAGAAAAAAACAAGAAGATAAATGAAGATAAACTTCAGTTCGATTCCCAGTCCAGTTCTAAAAAGAACTGTTGTTCTGTTTAAAAAAAAGTCTTTTCTCATAGAAAATGGTCATGATTATCTATCATTGCAATGATAGATAATCAAATGGTCAGTTGATCAATTGTCCGACTAGAAGTGGAAGAGAAAAAAATAACATTCAACTCTATGAATCTCATAGGAAACAGTTTGTTCATTGAGTTACCCTCATGTTTTCATTAGGAAAATTTTCCCTCTTCCCTTATCCACCCTCAGAACTTTATCATGATATTACTATCATCATCATTCCAGTAACTATTATAACTGTTATTATCCTGAAATCCAATTGAACATGAGTTTTACATTAACAGGGTTTCCGTTTCTCATGAAGATTATGAAAAACAATGAAAAGATTCATGAAAAAACGGTTCAGTTTTATATCTTGATCCAAACAATGAAAAAAAACAAACTACATGAAATGACTCAGAACTTTGATTCATTGGTTTGCATTCATTTAGATCATTTATTCATCACCATGAATTCAGAGTTATGATGATATTAAATAGTAAAATAGAAACACACCTAACAATCATCAATCAATTTAACTGACTGAACAATAAGTCAGAACTTTTCTCAATCATATTGTTTTCCTGATTCATGATAATTTACAATTTTTGTCTCTCTCTCTTTCTCTCTCTTACAAATCGTCATCTGAATTGAACATGAACCAAAAATCACCATGAATATTAAGAGATAAATAAGAATCTGAATAACAAAACTAAAAGCATTTTCTCCTAACTTTCCCTCCCACTGACCATCATCATCACCACCACCATAAGAACCATGTAATCCTTTGGTTGACCATTCAGTCCCCATTCCCTTTCATGGTCATCATGAATAAAAGGAGAAATATTTTTAATCCATTAAGTAAAATGGACAAACAATGTTATTTTTGACCATTGAAAATCCAAAGAATAAGAATTATCTTTCATCATGAATAAGAACTTTTTTCTCCTCCATGATAATATCCATGCAAGTATATAATTCAGTATTATCGTAATAGTTACAATCATCATCATGACGATAAATCTATTTTATGATACATATTATCATGATTAAATTGATTCAATTTCAATTCTATGTGTAAACAATTTATTTCAATTATCAGTCGTTTATGTGATGAGAAAAATAATCTTATCATGATTTATATTATTGTTGACAATTTAATTGTTACACTAAACTGTTGACAATTACACTTAATAATTTAATAATCATTCTCATAGATTTTGATTGTGTTTCAAATATCAAATTGATTTCAATTCAAAAATCACCATCAATTTGATTGTTAATATCAAAGTTAATGCTTGAAATTTGATTACTTTTGTTTTTACAATGATTGATTGTTTTTGTCTTAATTGTTGATCAGTGTCAACATTTAAATTGCTATCTATTGTTTATGGTAGATGAAAGTAGGAAAATAAGTAACAATTAATTGATTTTTGTGATTTATCATGAACATAATCATTAAATTACTTGTTGATTGTTATGATCATTTGATAGTAAACAATTTGGAAAGTTTTTTTTTATTAAGATGATGATAATGGTAATGTAAATGGAGATCACATTTCAGATTTAGAGTAAACAATTAGTTGATTGTTAATGATTGAATTTTACATCATCATTACTCCCATGCCATTCACTTTAAGGTTGATTAGTTAATTCACTTATTCAAGAGTAACATGAGATTGAGTTGAAAGTTAATTCAGTTTTGGATTAAGATGCCTGATGATTGTTAAGAGATGGTGATGATGATGATGATGATGATGAAATCATTATCAACAATTGAAAGATTTTCTTGAAGAGGTTGATGAAGATAAGAGGATGAAAAAGATTACGATGGTCAAGACTTGACCAGTTCTATTGTGTTTGAATAGTAATAGTTAAGTAATGAAGGTTAATTAGTGAGAAAGGGTTTCAGTCTGTCTACTTGAAAATTATCATCACCCAAACATTATCTTCATTCACAACGTTACCATCGTCATCATCATTATCTTCACTGTCTCTATCAGTCTTCATTCATTATCATCTTCATCCTTTTCCTTTGATGACAGTTAATTTAATGTCATATCAAAGATTCAATGGTTGGTTAATTTCTTGAAAATGGTTGACCCATGAGGATTCACAATAGATTTAAAAAAGATGATGAAGATACTTGAAGGGAAAGAAGATGAAAAAAAGACTAAGATGATGAGGATGAATCTTCACAACTATTGGTTATCATCCTAATCATTATCATTAACTTTTCCTTTAAGAGAGAAGAAAAAAAAAGTTCTGATTAACCTTGAATACTATTGAATGTAATTTAGTGTTGAGTGTTTTCAGCCTAATGAATTTGATTCAGTGGTTGAAACTAAGTTTCATCTTAAAGATGATGACGATGATTATGATACTTGGATGCTGAGAATGATAATAATGAAAAGAGATGATGAAAAGTGAATGAATATTTGAATCAAAGGAATAAGATGTTATTATGAAACTTTAGGATAACGAGTCACAATTAAGCTTTGAGTGAGTAAGAAGAAGACGATGATGATGATAAGGATGAAAAAGCTTCTATCAAATGGTTAATAAGCCATAACATGTAGAGAAATGTTCAATGTCGATGGGTAAAAAAGTTCGAGTTTCTTTTTTTCTTTTTCTCTCTGTACCTAGTATTCTGAATCTTGTAACTTTTTCTGTTCTTTTTTCGTTCTCTCGGATCAATCATCAATATTTTCGTTGAAGATGATCGACTCTTACGAAGAATAAGTTGATCGAAGCTCATCTCATCTCCATGAATATTATCATGATATTGTTGAGATAGAGTTTCTTTCAAAAGCATCCGTATCTCTCTTACTCACTCAATAACTCTCTGTGAATATTTACTATCTTCCATCATCTTTATCATCCTTTACCTTCAATAACTTTTCAAGGTGAACAATTTGCTCGCACTGATGTTAAGTTACCTTTTTGTTTCCTTATTATTACAATTTTAACCATTAAACACAAAGGATCAAAAGTTAATCCAGTTACTTAGCTTGTTTAATGATGATGATGAAGATGATGATTAGAAGATGAATCAAAAGAGAAAAGTTTATCCTCATCTTTTTGTTAACTTTTCTATTCTTTTCAATGTAACAATTATTTTTTTTCTCTTCTTCTGTGTTTCACCAATAATCCGATTTGAACATTTCTATTATTGTTACGACTTTTCCTCGATTTTCAGTTCTCTAAATCCTTAATTTAACGAAGAGAAAACCTTAATGATTCGACATTTTCTTTTTTCATCTTGATCTAATTGGTTCTAATAGATTGCTCGAAGGCGAGTTAAAAATCGACCCGGTAACAAGTCAGTTGTCCATGTAAAAGCGGATGACAGTTTACGAAGCACATTAAATGGTAAACCATTGGCATTAGTTGAGACTGAATATCAACAGCGTACCAATGGTGGGGGTAATAATAATAATCTTGGTTCGACAATTAAGCCGATCATCATTGAGGAATCACGATATTCAAGAAGTGATGAAAATGATGACAGTTCATTGGAAAGAGGCTGTGGTGGTGGTGGGTCAGGTATTTCTGTTGGCATCGGGGGAGATAATTCAGATTCTAGTTCATTTAATATGTTGGCTCAAGTACCAAACTGTGATAACAATAATAGTAATAATAATAATAATAATAATAATAAAGGTAAAGGTGATAAAATAATGTCACCAGCATCAACGACGAACCTCGGTTCTGATAAGGCGATTCGACTTCGATCTAAAAAGGATTCGTCAAACAGTAAACGTGAAGGTAAAACGGCCAAAATATTGGCCATTATTACGGGAATTTTCATCGTCTGTTGGTTACCCTTTTTTGTAAATGCTCTGGTTTCAGCTCTTTGTGGTGAATCTTGTGGGGTAGGTCCACCATTGTACAGTATTTTCCTCTGGCTGGGTTACGTTAATTCCCTTCTTAATCCTGTAATATATACAATCTTTAGTCGAGATTTTCGAAATGCTTTCAGACGAATCTTATTCGGTGCTAATACAAATCGAATGTAAAAAAAAGGAAAACCAAACTTCCACCACCACCAAGAATCCATCACAATGTTGCGTTCATTTCCTGGTTCGATATCTTCGATGATATTTTCCGTTCTCATCTCTTGATCTTTATCATAAATTCCCATGGATTCCAAGATACATAAAGAAAACAACAGGAAAATCATGTTGACATTTGAGATAATTAAGGATAACACACTGATCATCATCATCATCCAACTGATGCAAAGGGTAAACATTGACAAAAATAAAAAATAATGATGATACAAATGAAGACAAGAGGAAGACAAAAATACTTAATAGTAACAAGCAGATACGAGTAATGTTATATATTATATACAAACAACAATAATAATATAAATACATTTACTAATACATAATAATGATAAAAAATAATACTAATAATATAATCAAGGAATAAGAAAAATATAACTAATGCTAATACAATATAAATATAATCACTGATGAAATAATCAACGATGATAATATTAATAATAATAATAATCATAATAACAATAAATATAATCAAAATAAAGATAATGATGATAAATAATAATAATAACTGACCTCTAATGATATTGGTTGATGAAGATAAGGGATGAAAGATGATGATGACAAAACTCATGTGTATTATTTATATAATGTGAATATCTATTGGTAATTGTAACTGATTAACTCATTGATGATTTGGGCTTTTAATCAATTTAATTTGTCACCGCAACACTTTGATTGTTTACCATTAGTTTACCTTATTGGTAATGTAATATTGATGATGATTTACTTTTGGTTGTTGATTTAATTCATGTTACGATTTTGTTTTTGGTTTGAAGTTAATTGTCAACTAATTTTCGTGTTCATTGATTAGATGATTAGGTTTGTGTTCACTACAACTTACAGTTTGTGTTTGTAAGTTGTAGTGATTAGTTGATTTGAATGAATGAACTTTTTTTCTGGTGAGTATTATTTTCCCATCATCATTGGCATTGGTGATCCTGACCACATCATCTTGGACATCATCATTGACGATGGACCGGTCATCATCATTGGTGATGGACTTCCCATCATCATACCACCAGAAGTGGGCCAGGTCATTCCAGGTGACATCATCATCCCTCCACTCATCATTTTTTTACTTCCATCCATCATTTGATTACTATTCATTTCCGTTGACATGGTCATCGGCATTGTCATGGACATTGAGACAGGCATCATCATGGACATGGGAGATGAGACTGGAGATGGAACCGGGATAGGAATCGGTATTGGCATCGGCATCGATGACGGCATAGACATGGGCATGGACATTTATCTAATATTCATAAAATCAATCAATAATCAACAATCAATTCTATTGTAATATTAACTTGCTCAATAAAGAAACTGATTGTCAACAGGTAATCACATTTACCTTGACAATTTATGAATGAAATGAAAAGGAGATGAAAATGAAACTTTCTAATTATTGATCTACTTACGGTAACATCATGACGCTGGGAGACTGAGGAGCCGGTGGTTGAGCCATTTGAGCCATCGAGGGCGATTTCTCGGCTGAATAGACTTGCATGACTGGACAACAACCCTTCCACCTCCACCTCCACCTCCTCCATCGCCATCGCCTCCTTCACCCATTGATTTTTTCATCATCATCATCTCACCTCCATCATCCATATCCATCATTGGCATCATCATTGACTGACTGCTCATTAAATCAGCCATTTTATCATCTTTGTCACATTCTGTTAAAAGTAAAACAAAAACAAATTGATTTACAATCAGATTACATCACAATTAGAGTTAATTAATTGCTCTGATTACTTTAGCTTGATAAGTTGTCAGGGTTGATAGACAAAAACAAAAGACAATTTTAGCTTATGATTAAACAGTGAATATTACATTTAATGGACAGAAAAAGAAAAAGAAAACAATTAAAAAAAGAATACAATTAAAATTAATGAATTAATTGTCGTTATTTAAGTTAATTGACATCATTCTCGTTCTGATTAAAGTTAATCATAAACACTGAGAGTTTTTTAAATTATTATGACAACATAACGATTACATTTCTTTAAATTGTCAACTCAAGTTATCATTCAATTAATTTAGTTTTGTTTCTCTCTCTCTCTCTCTCTCTCTCTCTCTCTCTCTCTCTCTCTCTCTCTCTCTCTCTCTCTGGATAGTTAATTAACTAATTGCTATTAACAAATGAATCAAAAATGATGAAATAATTATGATAATCGAATAGAATTACGATTAAAAGAAGATGAGAATAGAAAATTATAACTGTTCTTATGAAGAGAAAAAAATCTTTTCTTCTAATCGAGATTAATTGAACTCAGAATAACTAGATTAAGGAATTGTTGGGACGATGATTTACTAATCACTGAATTAGATTAAATTTCTTTTCTCGGGAATAATTGGAAGTTCATTAGTTATGATTAGTTGATTCACTTTGCATAATTCTGCCGATTGTTGAGTTGAAGTCGATGAATGATTTTTGGTTGATTGTTATTGATTGATTTTCTTAGTTGTTGTATTAATTTGGTTAAGGTAATCAGAGGAACAATTAGTTAATCACTTACCCATCTTCTTGAGCATCTTTGAAGCCATTGTTTTACCATTAAGAGGATGAATAAACACAATCATCGTAATTAAAACGATCCAGACAATTAATAACTGAGGAAAACAATCATAGGGCAATTAAGAAGTTAATTGTGACCCGAGTTTTGACTAGAGGTTTGTTAATCTGATTGCTCGGTGATTTGTTCGCTTTTTTCCAGAAATTTGTTTCGAATTTAATCGTTTGAATTTCCCACACTTTCATTTATTCTCTTTCGTTGATTAGGTTAACCAAAAGGTGTCACCAGTTTCCATTAGAAGAAGTGAAATTGAAAAACGTTTGATTCAATTTCTATTGGAGAAATGTTTTTGTTTACTAATTAACTAATTGTTTTCTTAATTTAATCGTTTACTTGATTAACTTTTCAACGATTTAATAATTGTACAACTGTTTGTTTGTTCATCTTGAGGGTTTATTCGGTGTTTTGGTTCTTTTCTGCTTTTGAAATGTTTTCTGTCCCATCAAAAATTATCAATCGATATTCAACATTATCTCTGTTTAAAAGATGTTTAAATGATCACAAATTACCTTATCCAAAATTGTCCAAGGAGGAAAGAGAAGCTCTAACTAGTCAATCGTTGACCGAAAACCTTCACATTCAGCTCGAAGGGATGCCTGCTAAAGAATTCGCTGATGTTGATCCAGATTCGGAGCCATTTAATCACATCTATCAAGGAGTCGATGATAAAGGTTTTTTCACGAAAGTTGAAAATGTTACCGATAAAGATCCTGATCGATGGTTTTGGGTTGAAAGGTTATTGGTTAAAAAGAACATCTCATCTTATCCAACATTAACTTCAAAGGATAATAATCAAAGTAAATCATTTCCTTCAGGTTATCAACCAATTAATCAAATTACACCCGATTTACCTTATTTTATTGGACGAACAAGAAATGGCCTTTATCCCGTTTTCAAGATCGTTCATTTCAATCAGTACGTATCAACAGTTGTAAGCCATATCGAAGGTGATGTTTGGTTTGCTCGAAAACAAATAGTCCAACATTTGAAAGGGAAACTTAAACCCGAAAATCTAGTTACTGTTAATGAAGTACATGGATCATTAAGCATAAGGGGTGATCACGTTCTCGATGTGGTTAATTTTCTAAAGGAAACTGGTTTCTAATTGTCTTTTCTTTTTTGTAGAATAAAATAATAGTTAATTAAAGCTTAATTTGATTTAATCCTTTTTTTCTGTAAGTGATTGAGAGAGAGAGAGAGAGAGAGAGACAAAGTTGATAGTTGAATGAGCCTTAGCTTTTATTCTAAATCATGAACCATTGAATTAAATGAAAATGTTTTTTCTTCTTTAAAGTTGTTGGAACAAATTAAATGAGGTCATGTAGCTTTGACAAAGAAAAAAAGGAGATTTTGGATAATGTTGAGGTTAGTTACCACCACGAAGACGGAGGACCAAATGAAGAGTTGATTCTTTTTGGATGTTGTAGTCTGAGAGGGTTCGACCATCTTCAAGTTGTTTACCAGCGAAGATTAAACGTTGTTGGTCAGGGGGGATACCTTCCTTGTCTTGGATTTTAGCCTTGACATTTTCGATTGTGTCAGAAGGCTCGACCTCAAGGGTGATGGTTTTACCAGTTAAAGTTTTCACGAAAATTTGCATACCACCACGGAGACGAAGGACCAAGTGAAGAGTAGATTCTAGAAAGAGTAAAAGGGTGAGGCAAAAAAGAAAGATGAGAAATGAGAACAAAAGGGGGTTGCGTAAGAGAGAATCTCTCTAAGGTTAAACCATTAGAAAAACGCTAATTAGAGAAAACACAAACCTTTTTGAATGTTGTAGTCAGAGAGGGTTCGACCATCTTCGAGTTGTTTACCAGCGAAGATCAAACGTTGTTGGTCGGGTGGGATACCTTCCTTATCTTGGATTTTAGCTTTTACATTTTCAATGGTGTCAGAAGGCTCAACTTCAAGGGTAATTGTTTTTCCAGTTAAGGTCTTGACGAAGATTTGCATACCACCACGAAGTCGGAGGACCAAGTGAAGGGTAGACTCTAGAAAAGATAAGCAATAAAAGAGGGTAAGTCAAAAAAGAAATGAGAAAAAAAGTAGGGCGTAAGATGGAAGTTGAATTTCAACAAGACCAAAGGAGGAAATCACTAAATAGAAAAAAATAACCAACCTTTTTGGATATTGTAATCCGAAAGAGTTCGTCCATCTTCCAATTGTTTACCAGCAAAGATCAAACGTTGTTGATCGGGTGGGATACCTTCTTTATCTTGGATTTTGGCTTTAACATTTTCAATAGTATCAGAAGGTTCAACCTCAAGGGTGATAGTTTTTCCTGTTAAAGTTTTCACGAAAATTTGCATGATGATTGCGAGAAAGTTGAGACGTAGAAATAAATTTCAAGAAGAACAAAGAGAAAATTGGAAAGAATTAACTGTTAATTGATGTAACTCGAAGTAAACACAAAGACTGAATAATTGGGTTTCTCTTCAAGTGAACCTTTTAAAGAGAAATAACAACCAAGGGGAAAGAAGACAAAGGATTCGAAGGTGTTAACCTAACCTCCAACAGCCAATCAGAAGAGAACAACTTTTTCTCTCAGCCAATCACAACTCTTCGAATTGTTACCAAGGGGGTCGGCAACAAGTCACGTGTCTTCGACTATCGAAAGTATCGATTAGTAGATTGAGAAAATCAATCGATAGTCAAACATGGCGAATGAAAAACAACAATAAACAAAAAGAAATCAAATAATAGGAAGTTAATTGTTTAAATTTTTCTCTCTCATCTTAATTGTTACCTTAATCTACCTTAATTATTACGTCTCTTGAAAAGAAAATTTAATTTTTTTTTCTATTCTCTCCCCATTTCAATAACTTTACCTCTTTTATTTATTTTTTGTTCTCTTACCTTTTCTGTTTAAATTAATTTTTCTCTTTCTCTTTTTTCTTTCAAAAAATGAAGGTTAATGTAAAATTTGTTTCTGGTAAAAGTATTGAACTTGATAATGTTGATCCAATTGGTGATACGATACAATCAATTGCTGATAGGATTTCAAATGTTACAGGTTTACCTTTAACCTCTGTTGGTTTATTTACTTCTGATGGTAAAAAAGCTCTTGAGGGAAGTAAAATTTTGTCTGATTATGGTTTGGATGATGATTCATCTACTGGTGATGGTGATGGTATTGTTTTACTTTGTAAACGTAACATTCTGGTTCGTGTATGTGGCTCAATACGGTTAACTATTTCATCATCATCAACACCAGATAAGATGAAAAAATCAATCAATTCTGCTTATAAACAAGTATACGATTCATTTAAAAAGGTTAACTTTAATCTTGATTCATCTGATTACGTTCTGGATGGTACTAATAGTCCCAAGGAGATTTTAAATCATCTGTATAAATACATCAAGGATTCAGAGTATTCTGAGATTGAGGGTGTAAAAATGTCATCAGCAATGAAGGCTAAAATGTTTGATAAATTGTTCACTAAAAGGTTGACAGAATTATCTCCAATTCAATTGACATTTAACCTTGATGATGATTGTAAAAATGATGACGGTAACGGTGATAATGGCGATGGTGGTGATAATTTTGGTGGAAAACAAGGAAAGATCAATAATGATGAGAAACTATTTTTATCCATTGATTATGACTCGGAAAATGAATTACAATTAACCATTAATATTGATTGTATTAATGAATTTCCAGAAGATACCAAACTTCAAGGTTTACCTAAAGCATTAATTACCTCAATTCGACGTCAAATTGAAGAGATGAGAATCTGTGCTGTTAATTGTTTCGATGTAGATAATACAAAGATTCATTTGCCTGGAGCGTATCATTATCGTTTAACAATCAAATGGGATCATTCACCCAAACTATTTACGCTAATTTATCCCATTTCATTGGCCGATGACGAGTTAATTGAGTTACGGCGTAAATACCATGAGAAACTTAACTTACCCCTTGATCGTCCCTGCATACGTAAAGCCAATGCAATCAAATTTAATGGAGATAATTATAGACAACGTTACATTATTAATCCACATCTAGGTGTTCCCTCATCTGGATCAACTGGTGGTAAAGTAACAACGGTCCAGGGTGATTATGGTTATCATCATTATACTCAAGATGGTTACAATGATTCAGGTTGGGGTTGTGCTTATCGATCATTACAAACAATCATCTCTTGGTTTAAATTACAAGGTTATATTGAAATAGACAATATTCCAACTCACAAGCAAATTCAAGAAGCATTGGTTGCATGTGGTGATAAGGATGCTTCATTTATTGGTAAAGAAAAGTGGATTGGTTCACAGGAAGTTTCTTACGTTTTAAGTCAATTGTACAATATCACATCGAAAATAATGTTTGTCAATTCTGGCCGTGAATTGGGTTCTAAAGGAAGTGAATTGAAACATCATTTCGAAACAAATGGTACACCAATTATGATTGGTGGAGGTGTTTTAGCTCATACAATTATTGGTATTGATTTTGATGAGAATTCAGGTCAACTTAATTTTCTCATTCTAGATCCACATTACACTGGACCAGAAGATTTATCGACGATCGTTAAAAAAGGCTGGTGTAACTGGAAGAAACCCGATTTTTGGAATCCAAGTGCTTTCTACAATCTTTGTTTACCTCAAAAGCCCAAAACATTTTAAAAATCATTCGGAGCAATTAATTTATTTTCCATATACACACAAAGAGCTTTGGTTTTTCTTTCTCTTAAAAATGTTATTGTTTTCAAATTGGTATATTAAATTAATGGAAAAAGGATTATAATTGTTGGTGATTAATCATCTGGTTTATGCGTAATCCTTTGTACACTTTGCTGTTGTTACACTTAACGATTTAAAGATTTGTTTCAAGGCAACAATTGATTTGGATTTAAATTTACCGTTAACGTTATGATCAACAGTTTTTTTCTTAAAACAAAAAAACTAACGTTAATCAAAAGTAAAAGAAAAGTTAATGATTGAATGATTGCATAAAAATCAAGGTTTCAAGTCACCAGACTATCAACGAGTCAACAACGTAATCATGATTCAGTTTGCTACACAAAATGATCTCAATCAGTTGACAAATTTGATGATTCATTTAGTAAATGAAAGAAAACAAAAAGTTGATATTCTTTTTCCAAGAATCAACATCTCTCTCCCCCAATCTCTTTCTATTTACTCTTCTTGTCATGACTCTTTCACTCTCTTCCTGATTCTCTGTTGATTGAGGGTAATGAAAGATTATTATTAACCTGATACGTCGCCGTTTGTTGCCAGAAATGTTAATTAACTCTCATCATTTCAATTTCTCTCTTCAACAATTAACCGTTAAGAAGATGACGATTGAAGACAAACGATGTAAAAGCTCAATATTTATCCTTCCATCTAAATGATTTAGATAACATATCCAATTGTTCACCTTTGCTAATAACCTAAGGAGAAATTCAGTCATATGATTATTATTCTGATGATATGGTGGAAATCATGAGTACCAAACAATTAGATTACAAGTTGTTAAAGGAAACGTTGTTTTCATATCAAAAGATCAAAAACCTTCACCAGAAACAAAACATTGAACTCAAAATAGAAACAGAAAAAAGAAAGAAGGAGAAAGAAAAGAAAACCATATTATCCAAGAAGAATAAAGAACAGTTGACGTTATAAATGATTCCAGATAATTCCAACAATTAACTTAATCTTCTTGGTTTGAGGATAAAAATCGTCAATAGTTGTTATTAATGTTCATCTCTTAAAACGATCAACTTATTGCATCATCTAAATGAGAAAGAGAAAACATTCACTTGGAATTGGCACTTTTCATGGTAACTATTTTAATTTAATTCCAATCAAATTAATCTATTGCCAACAGAATTAACAATTAGCTAATGAACTGATCTCATGATACAAAATCTATTTTTAGTTGTGAACTTTTGTTCTAATACTTCAGTCGCCATCTATTGTTATGAATTAGAATTTCTATTGGAAAAATTCTGAACAATTGGAGTATCATTTAAGTTCAATCATTGATGAGGAACATACAATCTGTTTAATTAATTTATTTTAGTTCTAATTAAATACAATGAAAGTGTCACTGTTATTCTTAATTGTTTACTTACAATCGGGTGGTGATATAACAGAATTGAATCTAACATTTTACAAATAACATTTTGAAAAATATACATGCGGTGATTAAGAAAAAGTTTAGGCAAAAATGTTGCAAGGCAGAACACGACTCATTAGAAATTAATGTTTATCATATTCATCTGATTCCAGGACAGAATATTCATCGATATCATCACGAGGTGGATCATCTTCATCTTCAGATTCAACTATATCTCCTTTGGCAGATGAGGCATTTGTTTGGGTGACGATCTCAATTGCATCGGTTTCACCAACTTTTCCTAACGCAGATATTTTCGTTGAAGTTTTAATATGATCATATCGAGTTCTATCATCACCTTGGGAATTATTTCAACAAATTATTTCTACTTGAACTTCGATTTCCTTGGTTATCTTAATCGGGGTATTGATCCCTTTTTCTTTTGTAACTGGCTTTTCTTCAATCGGCTCTGATTCAGTTTGAATTACGTTGTGGAGAAATAATTGTATTACTTGGTTTATCTGATATATCACTTCCTCTAATTGAATCAACTGACCAGCCTTGTTGACAATTTTTTGAAAACAATATTTTGAATGAGACGATTACGGTTAATAGCAGCATTACATTTAAGGCGATTACAAATATCTTTTGTCGGATCCAAGAAGATAGAACCACGATCGATCGATAGGACAATTTTAGATTGGGCTAAATTAGGAAGTTGACTTTAATTCATTTTTTCTTCCTTTTTTTTTCAGCGTTCCGGCGATCGTTTTCTGACATTTCTGACATGACATCGCCAAGAAACAACGAACCATCTAAACCTTTCTATTTGCTGGCAAACCTGTATACTAATTATCACTATGATAGTTGTTCAATGGACAAAGATTACGATAAAACGAAATGGCAATTAACTTTTAACGGTTAAACCTGACGTCAATTATCAAAGGATGGAAGCGATTCCTTGGTTCTTTCACAATCTTTATCTCAATCCAAGTGAGCTCAAAATTCACATCAAAAATCTCAAGAAAATTCAAATGTTCCTCAGGTAAAATCTTTGGACAATTCGATTCTCTTCATTAGCTATGAAAACTATACACAGCCTTTGGTCATCACTTCCCAAAGTTCCTATCATGGACCATCTTCATTTTACAAGCAATCAAACTTCACTTCTAATCTAACACAATCAAATTCGCAACACTCCCAACAAAGTCAAGAAGGTAATTGTTGCCGAAAACATAAAAAACATTTTAAAAAATTGGCCTTTATACCAGAGAAACGGATTGACTGCAATCTTACTCTTGATCTTGGTGATTTTTTATGCACATAAACTCACTTCTTTCCTGATTAGTCTTCATCGTCCTGGCGATCGCTTTCTGACATTTGAATCTATTCTACCTGTGAGAGTTGATAATCTTAACCAACTTGATGATCATAGACTCACCTGATTAAGGTCAATTGATTTTCGTTGTACGATCAACTCCTTTTCATACCAAGTCGATAATTTGACCATTCGCATTGACTAAATTACACGACACGAATTAACTAAATCGCATTGGTATCGGAAAGAAATTGACTATAAGACTGTTTTTATTTACAAATTAACAAATCCTATGAGTTTAACCTTCGTCTAGTGATTAAATATTAATTCTAGTCATTCAAATTGAGCAAATTAATAAGAAATAATTAAATTTTTATCGTCCAAAAGTTACCAAGTAACAGGCGACATCTATGATATAGAAGATTAAACTTTTGTGCAATTGTGGATACAACTTAGAGAAATTTAAAGAATACAAATTATCACTTCATTAACTAACTGATTTTGAACGATTAACATCTATTGGAAGGAAATCTATAAATAAATTACCCTGAATGATTGGCAGATAAGCCGATTTAATGTTTTTCCAATAACTCAATCGATTCTACCGATCAACCACTTAATCAGTTTTAATTAGTTCGCTAGAAAAATAATTATCGCCCCAACGGTCTAGTTAACTGGTGGTGAAATATTGAAAACGGAAATGATTTTGGTCTCAGTTGGAAGCAGATAAAGACAATGAGTGATTCCAGACGATGATGATAAAGAAGATAAGTGTCAAAGCGAAAATGAAGACAAATGTGTGATAAGAAAGAGAAGATGAGGATTTCCGTTATTCTGTGGTTCATAAATCCTGATGTTTGGTGAAAAATCAGAAAAGGAAAATGAAACTTTTCAGAAAGAGAAGAAGAAAATGAGATGATGATGAAGATAATTCTGATTCTGGATGATCGATAAAATTTTCATCCATCTTTAATCCTCACACTTCCCATGAAGTCACCAATGATTAAATTGATTGTGATCGACATTAAATTCCTGTTAGATTTTCAATCTCAACCATTAATCCTATTCTAATGTTGAAGTTTACATTTAGTTAAACCAGGAAAAAAAATTGATCAACATATTAACCAGATTTAAAGACGAGATTAGACTAATCCTGTTTAATCAAATTTCATCAGCATCACAATCAATAATCATTATCACCATTTACCAATTAATCAACTAATCAAGATACCAAATAGTTTCAAAGTTAATCCAATCGCCATCGATTCCTAATCAAGACTAATCTTAATCACCATCAGCATAAGTTGAATCAAATCTTCACTAATCAACTAATTATCCAGTTTTAATCAGGAAAACTGTTAACCAAGTACATTGTAATTGTCATATGCTCTGATTTCTGAACAATTAATGTTTACAAAACATTATCAATATTAATTGTTGTCATTTTGTTCACAATCAGTTGATTGTCGAAACTGTTGTGTCCACTCTGGTCAAATGTAAACAAAAGGATATCCTTGAGATGGACAAAAAATTGAACCATTAAGAGTCAGTTAATTGCATTGATTATCTTTAATGTGATCATCATTAACTTTTCACAATTAATATTAACAATAACAACATTGGGCGTTGATAGTTACCAGCAAATGATTATCAATTGTCAACAATGTTGAACAATTATGACAAGGACAATTAACCATCTCCAACAATCAACGGTCACTCTCACTCTTTTATATGGTCAAGTTGTTTGATTTCAATTCTGAGGAGAAAAAGTTGAATCAGAAAATCAGCTGAAAGAAAAACGAAGAGAAGAAAAAAAAGTTCGTAAATTAAATTCGAATCATAAATTTAGATTGATAATCAATTCTTGAAAGATGACAATTTGTCACCATTTTAAGAAAATGATGAGTTGATGATGAATAGAATTGAGAATGAAAAAAAGATTAATCAACATGCAGAAATTGTGGAAAAACTTTTCAAAGGAATAGTTGAGATTCTCTCTATCATGTAAGAGAAGGTGAAGAAAAAATTGAATTGAATTCATTGTTAGAGGGAAGAAAATTTTGCCTCAATCTGAGTAATACAAATGAACAAAATGAATTATCATGGAAATGAAAGGCAACTCAACTTGAGAGAGGAAAAATTAACATTGATAACCTTTGTGAATATCGAGCTTGCAAAAGGACAGATAAAGATGATGAGGAAGATGAGGAAGATGCTCAGGATGACATAAGCTGACAAAGAAGATGAGATATTATTGCAAATCTTATAAATGCATGAGGATGAAGATGAAGCAAATGCTTTAGTATAATATTCCTTGTCCTTCATCTTTTCTCCATCATCATCATCATCATCATCTTTTATCTTCTCTTACTTTCATTTTCATTCTTTTACTTTGTTAGTTTTATCTTCCTCTTCTTCTTTAGTTTCATCATGATTTCCTACTGTATCATGATATTTCCCCCATGGCTGCCAGAA